AAACAGTATTGCCCACATGATTGGCCCTTAACAAGTAATGGCTCATCGACCGGTGTACAGTCTAGGTTCTCTGTTTCAAAGTCATTACATTTTTACAAGTTATTTCATTTAACATTCTGTTTGTGACAGTCACATCCTGAACACTGTGTTGACTGTTTTATTGTTTGCCATAGCCCTATAAAGTCATGGCATTAACACTGTACAAATAAAGTAATTCGAGGCCAAGAAGAATTAATGATTAGCCATTAGGCACACAGCTGCTAACTGGCTGTCTTTGTGTTCCACGTTCTCTTTTCTGGGAAATGGTTTATGGGAAGATGGGTTTATGGTGTCCAGGGAATAGCATAAGCCCATTGGGTAATCACTTATAACTATTGGCATGTGGCATGTATCTGGGAGTGTGGCAGAAGAAAGAAGTTGCAGGCGAGTTTCATTTTAAGAACACGAGATGATGATTTGCCCTGGTCTGCAACCCCACTTCCCCAAACCTAACCCAGAATTTCTTTTTTTTTTTTTAGAGCCTTTCTTAAGAGATGTATTTATTTTTTTAAAGTAATTTTATTAAATTATAAAAGTTTCCATTTCTGCCCCTCTTCCCAACACCCTCCCACTCCCCCCCTCCCTCTCCTCCTCCCTCTTTGTCCCTAAGGGCAGCCAGGGTTTCCAGCCCTGTGGAATGTTCAAGTTCGTCCCCCCTCCTTCCAGGTCCAGGAATGTGAGTATCCAAACAGACTGGATCCCAAAAATCCAGTATATGCAGAGGAAACTAGTCCCAGAATTTCTTAAAAGCAACCGCTCACCTCTGCAACTGCCTGAGCCGACAGCCCTCTTGGTTTCCATCCTTAAAAGGATGCCCACAGGTTTAATCAACCACACTGCTTCCCTCAGCAGAATTCCACATCAAGTGGGACATTGCCCTAGCCGGTTATAACTGGACTCCGGTGATTATATTCCTGTCAGAACCTTGAGTTACCTAGGTTACATGTGTCAACAGAGTTTAAAGCTCTGTTTATTTGCCTCCCCAGACAGAGGTAGAGAAAGGGTCTCCCACAGCCAGTCGGCTGCCCAGACAGCCATGCTACTCAGGAACCACTTGGTAAAGCTAACACTCTCTTGGCATGTGGTTCCCACCAGATGAATTACAGCCCAGTGCACACTGGGTTCATTCAGAACACTGATGTTAGATCAGGAGGGACACCTCCCATACTACAGTGAGAAGGGAACAGAGTCCAACACCGGGGTATTGGGGTGTAAATCCCTTAACTGTATCGCACTGGGTGTAGTTATATTGTTGGGTCTCCACCTACAAAACAAAGACTTTAAACAATATCATTCTTCCTATGCTTAAGAATTTAGTGAGAAATTAGTAACATACAATTCTCCCTCAACCCAAATACAAAACTGTGTATGAAAGAGAAGAAAATGAAACACAAACAGTCTCTGATAAATCAAAGATTTTAAGTGTTGATTTTGAATAATCCTTTTCCTTAAAATACAGAGCCTGGGCCTGAGAGTATAGTTCAGTGGTAGGGCATACGCTCAGCATGCAGGAGGCTCTAGGTTCACTTGGACCTTTTTTTTTTTATTTGTACACAAATGAATATTTTAAGGCAAGTACACGAGGCTTGCAGCAGCCACTAAGGGAGGAAGGAAAAGGAAGAAGAAAATATAAAAAGCTATAGTCTTCACTATGCAGGCCTACGGAAGATCTTGCTGGTCCCTAAGAGTTCTTTCCCACCTACATGTCTGCCTAGCCTTAGGGAAGCTTTTTCAATAGAATGTTTCAAGAAGTCACCAATAATTATTTCTTTAAAAATGTAATATTGTTGAAAAACCGTAGATTCAAGATCATACTCCATATTAAGTCCCTATTTTAAAAAAATAAAGTCTCAGCTCTCTTTTGCAGTTGAAGTGAGGATCTCAAACAAGAGCCACTAACTGCAGTTGGCTTAGGAGGTTCCTTTGATAACCAAGCCTGTAATCACCCCTTCGGCTTCATTCAGCCGGAGCCCTGGCTTAAACTGCAAGAGGGTACCATTCACAAGTCGGGCTGCAGGCATTGCTTATCAACAGGTGCCTCAGTTCTCCACAAGGTCTGACCTCATGGAGAAGACAACACTGACTTCCCTTCAGTCAGGGCAGCATTTCATGTGAGCAAAGACTTGGGAGGCTGACCTTCAGAACTCACAACGCTCGGCTTACACCATGTGTACTGGGAAGAATGAGTCGCTGAGATGCCCTGGATTGAGAGCATACAAAAATATTCCATGTCTTGATGGGAGGAACAGCAAGGGCTTATTGTTAATGGGAAGTGCACATGTGTGTGGAAGCAACTAGGGACCATAAAATGATCTATTAGTGCTTCTTCCTACAATTTACTGATATTCCTTGAACATGCAAAGTGTATCTGTTCCAAATTAGCATGTGCAAGCTCACACCCCAAGGGTTTCAATAACCATGACATGTAACGGTATATTCTAAACCTTAGCCAACTGAGACAGTGGCAAATTTTTCTCATCTCACACAGTTCTGTGAGCCACAATTCAGGGAGTCAGTTACCTGTCCTTGTCTTAGCGTCTCTGGTGATGTCCGTCAGAATATCAAAAGTGTGCTCACCTGCACATTTGAATGGTGCCGGCCGACCTCCATTCAAAATGGCTTACTTGATCTCTGGCTGCGGATAACAGGCTATGGCCCTCATTTCGCACACCTCCCCATTAAGCTATGCAAGTGTTGTTTTGGGTGCAGATGCTGAATGTCCCCCAGAATAAGGGATACATGAAGCTAAAGATCACATGAAGCACCTCTTCGTGCCTTTAGCCCCAAAACATATGTGGCTGTATTCTAATAGCTCATGGATTACCCAGATCAGATATATGATTGAAAAGGGCTATCGCAGGTCCTGGGAACCCATTTGGTGACTGATACCATAGAATTTAAAGTACCAGGTTCAAAGTCCAGCAGTGAATGGGCTGCTTTGGATCTGAATGTGCATGAAGTTCAATGTGAGGTTTTCGGGAGAGAAACTCTTGAACAGAAACTCATTTTTTAATTTTTAAATTATTTTTATTGAGTTATTCATTTTTTTCCACTTCCTTTCCTTCCTTCCTTCTCCCCTTCTACCCTCTCCCATGATCCCTATGCTCCCAATTTACTCAGGAGATTTTGTTTTTTTCTCCTTCCTATGTAGATCTATGTATGTCTCTCTTAGGGTCCTCTTTGTTGTCTAGATTCTCTGGGGTTGTGACCTGTAGGCTGGTTTTTCTTTTCTTTATGTCTAAAAGCTATTTACAAATGAATACAGATTATATTTGTCTTTCTGGCTCTGGGTTACCTCACTCAATATGGTTTTTTTCTAGATCCATCCATTTGCCTGCAAATTGCAAGATGTCATTATTTTTTTATCTCTGTGTAGTACTTCATTGTGTAAATTAGCACATTTTCTTTACCCAGTCTTCAGTTGAGGGGCATCTAGGTTGTTTCCAGGTTCTTGCTATCCCAAATAATGCTGCTATGAACATGGTTGAGATATGACCTTGTGATATGATTGAGCGTCTTTTGGGTATATACCCAACAGCGATATTGCTGGGTCTTGAGGTAGAGTGTTTCCTAATTTTGAACAGCAACTTTTAAGCTCCATTCAACATTCAGATAGAGAAAGTTTATCTACAAAACACTCTCACACATAGAGAAAAAATAGGAAACACGGGTCTCAAACTGAGAGCAATGTTGAAATCCAAATGATCACTCATCAGAATTCCAACCCCAAGGGCAAGAAACAGGCCTTGATTGCAGGCCAGTTCTTTTCCTCTTGAGAGGCCTCTGTGTTCTCTTAGCTCTTCACTCAGCCCTCTGAGCTCCGTGTCCAGCTTTCTTAAAGTCCCTTCCGTTTCCAAAGGAAGTGGCTCCTCAGGTGTATGCGAATATGTCCCCAAAAGCAGTGTTTCCTCAGGAAACACTGCCGAGAACTGACAAACGGGATTATGGGAAACTCAAAAGTGGCTGCACAGCAGAGGAAACGATCAGAGCCAGCCTTCCAGAATGGGAAAAGATCCTTGGCCAACCACATGCCAGACGGGGTTATTAATATCCAGGCTATACAAAGAGCTGCAAAAATTAAACTCCAAAAATCCAAGTCATCTTACAACTAATGATCTGAATAGACCATTCTCAAAAATAGAAAGGCAACAGTAAATAAAACCTTGACAAAGTGTTTATCATCCTTTAATTGGCACCAGAAGCCAACTAAAAGTGCCTGGAGAGTTGAACTCTGCCCTGGCAGAATGGCTCTCACAAGGAAACAAATGACAATCAACACTGCTGAGGATGTGGAGAAAGAGGAGCTCTTACTTGCTGCAGTGGGGATGCGAAGCTGTGTGGCCACTGTGCAAGTCAGAATGGAGACTAATCAAAAAACTAAAAACAGAACTATCATATGACCTGGCCATGCTACTCCTGGGTATGTACTTGAAGAACAGACTCTATAGGTGTATTCCACAGTGCACCTGAACAGCTGTGTTTGTTACTGAACTATTCCCCAGGATCAAGAAATAGAACCAACCAAACTATTAGTCAAAAGGTGAATAGATAATAAAAATGTGATGCATATATACAACGGAATTTTATGCAGCCAAAAAGAAAAGCAAAATCATGACATTTGCGGGAAGATGGACTGGAACTAGAAATCACTGAGTTAAGTGAAATAAGCCAGGCTTAGAAAGACAAATGCTTCATCTTTCCTCTCATTATGTAGAACCTAGATTTAAATATAAATATATGTATATATGTGCATATGTATTATTCATTCTGTGATTAGAAAACAGAATGGAGAAATAACTGGGGGCGGACTGGATGGAGTGGAGAAGACTGAAGAGAAGGAAGGGCACGGGGAAGATAGCAGGAAGGAATAAATGACATCTACGCACGAAGGTGTCAGGAAACCCATTGCAATTTCTCACAGCTTTATGTGGATGCTTCTTTCGGTGGTTTTTGGCAGGCTCATTCACACCCATGCATTCTGCCAGGAAACTGACTGTCTGGAAGGTCTCAGAAGGCCTTACTCGCGTATTCAGCATTTGGCACCAGCTGTCAGCTAAGAACAAGTTAATTTTTCTCAATTTGGGGCGATTGTGTCTCCAAGAGATACTTGGCAGTGTGTAAACAGTTTTGATTGTCCCAGCTTTGCAGAGGCTATTGCATCAATAATTAGAGGTCAGCGATGTTTATGAGCATGCTGTATTAGACAGATCAGTCTCCTTCATCAGTAAGATGCCTAGCCTGAAATGTCAATAGTGCCGAGAAGCCCAGGGACGTGTAAGTTTACACGAAATGTCTTCTTAGTCTTTACAGTGACCATCACAGATGAGTGACACTTGCTATCTGAAAGCGAGAGAGGGCCACTGTGAGGCAGTAAGTCACCAACAAGATCACACAGTGGTAAAGGGAGGAGTTGGGCCTAAGTGTGCACAATACGGCCTTTTAATTAACATGTTGAAGCTATACATTCCGCTTAGAATGCGCACCTTCACAGAAGATCTGACTTTCCAAATGCTAAAACTGCACCCAGGGAACAGTCTAAAGCTTCTACTATTTGTTTACTTAGACAAATTCCCCCAAAACAAAGCCCAATGCAAAGATTCAGTGTAGATGCTTTGTGGAGGAGATACAAGCCTGTGGCTGCCAAACTGTGCAGAAGGGAAATGATGCCGAGGACAAGGGGAGGCAGTGCAAGGTGACTCGCTCCAGGAGGGACATCTGGCCAGATGGGTGAACCTTTCCAAATGGGCTGCTGCTGTGGACGGTGCTCTCTGAGTTAGACGGCTGGAAGGAAGAAGGAAGAAAGAACAGAGCATGTGTTTCACTGTGCAGCACTTACCTTCCTGAGATTCACCTGCCTGCACTCGAGGGTTCTACAACCTGTTCCTGTAGCAGGGACTTTGGAAGCCATCCATTAGCTACAACTTGGTCTTCATAGTCTAAGGATATTGCGGCCTTGGCAGGAGATTCAAGAAATCACTAAGCGGTGAACTTCTTGGTCTTCTGTAGCCACCCAACTACGATATGACATAGTTAACGGTTTTCCTCATGATAAATTGTCCTTCAGAGAAAGAATTTCTTGGATAATGGGTAAATACTAAAAACCAAAGCCCCTTATTATGAGAAGACTGAAGATCAGAGGAGAGACTGAGGCCAAGGTATAGTGGCACATAACCTAAAATGCCCCCGCTGGGAGTCTGCAGAATCACAGTAAGTACTGGGCTGCACAGTGAGTTCAAGGCAAGCCTGAGGGGGTGTGGGAAGATGAGATGATCCCCTGTTCTGCCTCAAGACACTGGTGCCAATATCTGGGGAAAGCAAACCCCTCTTTGCCTCTGGAGTCCTCTGTTCTCCAGCATCAACGGCCCCAGACTTTTCAAATCTCTCTCATGTGAAGATATTCCACATCAGCTCAAGAACTCATTGCCCAAACCCTTGTTAAAATAGCACTGCAAGTGGAGTTAAGGAAACAAACGTGATGATTCAGATGCAAGCGTGCATCGGCGAGAACAGGACCGGTCTGTGTCCCATCGGGTCAGTGCACTCCTAATAAGCTAGCGAGGGACCACATTTGCTAGTTGGCAGCCACTGAACACCATTGCCTCATCCTGTCCATTGAAGCTCTTCAGACTGTTTCACAAGCTGTACCAAAGGCTTCTCTCCCCCATCCTGTCCTCCCCTTGATTGCTTGGACTCAACTCACACACTTAACTTCATTTAATTTTTTCTGGGATGACACAGTTCTCAGGGCTTACCACATGCATTTCTGGATATGCCGCATGCCCACTGCCGATTGTAGAACACAAATAGTAAATGCTGCTAGCTGGAGGGGTCAGGAGGCTCGATAATGGGAGCAAACGAAATGTGGTCGGGTAGAATCCAAATCTGTGAGGCGGGAACGCTGGTGAACTGGGAATTCAGAAGAGAGCTCTTCTTAGTTTGACCTAACTGCTGCCATACAAAAATGAAGCCCAGAGTTAAAAGGTCTTTTGACTTAAAAACAAATAAGTTGAAAATCTGTGTATTTACTGGATATACTCCATCTTTTAAATGTTGGCCCCCAATTTACAAAATTCTAACATATACTATTAGCCAAAAACAAAGACATCTGCAATCTGAGTTCGGCCCACGACAGGCTTCAAGTTTGCAAGCTTCCCCTGTGGGGATCGAGGACTTGCTCAGCACTGGTTTCAATTGAGACAAAAATGTAAAATGATTTGTGTTATCTTGGATTTAAAATCATAACATTTATTTTTAATACTCCCCTCTTAATCACAGGCTTGAGCCTTTTAAAGCCAAAAGAATCTTCAGGGTTACACTGTTTAGTCTTTTTGTTTTACAGAGAAGGAATGTATGGTTCAGAAATAAGAAGTCAGCTGATTTTAAATAAATTTTTGAAAGAACAAATTTAAGGACGCAGGTTTTTGGAAACAAAAGGAGTCACACTGGCCTACTAGTTCAGGGTTTCTCTATGAGCACAGCTGCTGTTTTAGAATAATTCTTGATTAGGGGTGTGCATTTGTTTTGGTTTTTTCTCATTGCTGTGACCAAACACCTAACAGGAAACCACTTGAGAGAGGAAAGGTTTAATGGGCTCACAGTCTGAAGGATTCCAATCCATGATGGCCAGGACAACATGGAAGCAGGTAGGTTCATGGTGGCAGCGGGGTCTCTTCATTCCCTTACGTTTCAGTGGGAAAGAATGCAGACAGACAAGGGGCAATGCTGGAGCTCAGCTGGCTTTGTTGTTTTCCCTTTCTGTAGTCTAAGATGCTAACCTCAGCTTGTGGGATGCTGCCGTCCACATGAAGGGGGCATTCTCTCTGCTTAGTTAACCCTCTGGAAAAGGCTCTGGCAGACACATCCTCCTGTGGGTCACACTAGTGCCTAGTCAAACTGACGGTTAACATTAGCCACAGTGATGGCTGTTGGACACTGGGATGTTCAGTCACATCTCTGGCTTTGGTACCCTGGAGCACTATACTCAGTCCTGCAGTCATAAGTGCCCCAAAAGGACAAAATCACCAATGTCCTCGGAAACCAATGGTGCCCACTGGCTTTATCCAGTCCCTTCATGTGGTAGATGAGGAAAACTAGACTCCGAAAACTGAAGAATATTTCTTTCCCTCAAGATCATTGAAGAACAGAACTGTTGGCATATGTCAGGCCAGGACTCAAGTTCCTTAACTCTTGGTACAGTGTTCTCTTTACCAAGCCTGAGTGTCTTTTCTTCTTATTATTTATTTTGTTTATATTCACTATTATTGTGTGTATGTATGGTGTGCGTGTGTGTGTGTGTGTGTGTGTGTGTGTGTGTGTGTGTGTGTAATAGTGCAGGTGTGGCCTTGCATGTGGAGATCTGAGAACAAGTTGCAGGAGTCAATTCCCAACTTCTCCCATGCAAATTCTAGGGATCAAATCCAGCTGTTAGGCTCGCATAGCGAAGAGTTTTACCCGCTGAGCCATCTCCCCAGTCCTCAAGCCTGAAGAGGTTAAGCACAAGTCTTCAAATAACTGAGCAGTCTAAACCTGCGTGGTTCATATGGAGTGACGGCATGGTTGATATGAAGTTACTGCATGGCCAATGACAAGAGACACAGAGCTTAAGACTGAAAGATTAGGAATCAGTTCTCAGCCCATCGACTTACTAACTTTGTACACTAGCCAAGTGAACCTTCCAGGTCTTTGTTTATCACTTTACATGAAAATTAGGTTGTAAAAACTATATATAATGCTTCCCACATAATAGTGAATTGTTATGCTGTTACTATTATTGCTATTATAATTAGTGGTATCTGGGATCAGTAAACTATATCTCAAATATAATCTGGCCTGCTTACTTTAGAGCCTATGAGTAGAGAATGATTTTTATAAGTTCAAATGACAAAAGTATCACTACTCTTGTGACACATGAAAATCTTGTACAATTCAAAGATCAGTGTCTATAAGTAAAAATCATTCATTCTTTAACTAGACCTTTGGTCTCTATGAAGAAAAAAAATAGTTAAAATTTGCACAGTGCCCTCTGGTGTGCAGGAGGTAATATAGCAAATAAATTCTCTAGTTGTTTCTGATGCCACTTAAGTACCTGTAACCACTGTATTTAAGATATTTCCCAGGGTCTGTATACACGTAGACTTTTCCAAAAAACATAGGCTCCTGAGTCATCCAAGGGACATGAAAACCTTTTGCTTTTTATAGACATCCTTTCTTAAATAAATCTCATTGTAAAATTGGTTCTTAGAGGTGTTCTTTCAGAATCTGGGATATTTATCAAAAAGAAAGGAAATGGCTTGCTCAGTGTTAAGCCAACTGCATATTTTAAGTGCTCCACATTTTGGACAGGACAATCAAGAGGGATATCCTGGAACGGGAAGAACAGATAAGAATGAGCCACTAAGATTAAAATTTAAGGGATGTTGTCGTGGCACTTTTTTTTAAATACCTTGAGCATATTGGTTATAATTTAATCTGACCGTTGGCCAGAAGTTGAAATGTCCTAATACCTGTTTACAACCTTCACTCTATCGGCAGTTAGATGTGGGCTTTCTACAGTTAATTTTCAGTTCAATGCAATCCATTATAGTGATTTTCAAGTACACACCCTGGGCATCAGAAGTACAAGGATAAACATTGCCTATGTTATAAAATATTTCAAAGCAGCTCTGGTTCAGTCATTGAAGCTCTTGAATCAACTCCTTCTCTGAATATGAAAGTCAGGCATTAGATTAAATACCCTATCCGGTTCAAGAAAGTTTTATTGAGGGCCTTTGTCTACCCATACTTTATTCTCACGAAATCCAAGTGACCCATACATATCAGCAGACTACCAAGAACTGAACTGGGTTCTGCCACTGTGCTCATTCCGTTCTAAAGTGCACCCTACTCTCGGCCCTTTGAAGTAGCTCATGAGGTTATGAGCTATGCTGTGCAGGCGTTAGAAGGAAACCCACCAAGTTTTCCTGAATAAGGAAGAACAGAATTTACAAGAGAAGCAACAGTGGGGCAAATTGAAAAGCGTGAACTCATTGGTGGTGAGGTAGGCAGAGGATGGCATAGAGACAGACGAAAAGACATCAGGAGTTAGAGGTGAAGACTGAACCCAATAGAACTAGTGCTGTCCCCAGTGGGTCCCTAATTCAAAACCCAGTCCAAAAGGGATGGAGAACTCTCAGTAAAATATCAATAATCTGATGGGCAAGAAGGAGGTAGGAACGTCTGGACTCTAGTTAGCGCCACATGTAAACTGAAAAGATTCATTCCAGAGGAGGTGGCAGAAATGAGGCCCACGGTTCCCCAAGGGAAGGGGCCGAGGAGTACTCAGAAGGAGCCAGACCAACAGCCAGCTGCTGTATTTTAGGAATTTACTCTCAATAGGTAGGACTCATTAGATTCAAATTATTCTCAGTTCTCATACATTTATGGCAGAGGGACGTTGTATGGCTTGTCAGCTCTGAGGGACTGGGAGCTCAGGCAGCAGAGGGACAGCAGTCAGTCATAGAGAGAGGGAGGATGAGGAGGCCCTGTGAGGGGGAAGCAGGGATGGCGGCAGTGGAGTACCTGTAGCCCTCCAGCAATGCCCCCTTCCCCTTCCTGTCCTCTAAGTTGCCATCTCTAATGACTATGAGAGCCCCATCCCCTCTCCTCAGAGTTTGGCAAGAGAAGCAGGATTCACACCCATTGTTGAATTCTGTTTGGGTTAAACCTAATGAAGTCCCAAACTGTCAGTCCCACTGCGGGAGGAACAGGATGGAGTTAGACCTAACTTCCTCAGGAAGGATCCCTCAACATTCAGATGCTGGAGGAAGCAAAACTGTGGACGACTCTGCCCGATGCGATAACTACTTCTTCTGTATGTCCCATCGTACACACTTGGGATCCCAAGGTCCCTCTGGAAAGGCCTGTCCCACTGCACCTGGTTTAAAGTACACCTGGCCTTTGCTAGTGGGCCCCTCCTTCCCACTTCTCAGGACCCTCTGATTTCACTAAGTTTCCTAGCATGTGTGCCAAAGCTTTCCCTTCTCCCCTCTCTCCCACACCTAGCCTCCAACCCACTCCTAGCTGTGGTGTGCTTGGGGGAAATTCAATCCATATGTTTCCTCTTGTTTCTTCAGAGCGCATCCAGCCATTGTTTAAAGAGCGAGGCAACAGCCAAGAAGAGCCATGGGAGGCCTCTCTTGGCCTTCCAGTCCTTCATTAGGGAGCGGGGAAAAGAGGACTCTGCCAAGAGCAAACCTGAAACATTCCTGTGGGTTCATGTCAATGCCTGCACATCACGTTCACACACAAACATGACCCCGGGACTGTGGATGGGAGGTATTCACTGTTCAAAGACTCCTGGGGAGGAGGAGGTGGTAAAATAGCATCACCATGGCCTCGCTTGGCGATGTCCACAGAGAAGCAGTAGACAGGAGGCTGCTCTCCTTATCTACCCATACCCACTCTGACAGAAATGCTTGTAAATGCAACACACGCTAATGGAAAATCAACGATTTCAGCTCTGTCTTAATCATAGAAGAGACATCTTAGGCTCAGAGAGGGCAAGGGACCTGCCCATGTTCAATGAGATAACTGGGGTTTTGTATGGAAACCAGGGCCTCTGATTTTACAACCACAGCTTTGACCCCTGGGTCTCTCATCCAGACCTTACACAGATGCTCAGTGCCTGGTGCAGACTTTCTGGCTTGTTCTAGGGCAATCCTTTGAAGAATTTTATTTATCTACTCTTCTAGAAACATCTTGGAAGTTGAAAACTCATGATCCCATTACTAAAACATAGCTAGGAAATCTTGAGTGTTATAGGTCACACCAGAGTTTCAAAAGCAGTGGTAAGAACCATAGTAAAAATTAAATTTATATTAATATATTATTTCATTAAGTATAAATTTTCTAGAAAGGTCTTCGTGAGTCTTTTTAAATTATGTTTTTAATACAATTTCTTTGACGCCTTATGCAGCCCGTGTGCTCTGAAATGCTAGGAGTTTTACGAAAATCAGTACGGTCCATATATTAGTTTCTCCTCCATTGCTATGAGAAAACACCACAACCAAGGCAAATCTGAGGAAGAAACAGCTCCTTTCCAGAAGGAGAAAAGTCGTTGCAGCAGGCAATGGAGAAGCATGGCGGCTAGAACAGCAAGCCGAGAGCTCACATCTTCCAAAGGGAAGCATGAAGCAAAGAGAAAAAAATAAAAATGGCTTTACATTCTAAAAGCCTGCCCCTAGTGACATACTTCCTCTGTCGAATCCACATCTCCTAATCTTTCCCAAACAGCACCATGAACTGGGGACGCAAGAATCTGTGGGGGCCATTTTTATCAAACTACTCTAGTGCACTACCACCAACCTTTGCGCGATACTTCCCAGAGACCCTCTCAGCCTCAGCCCACCCTGCCTTCGAGGAGAATCTCCAGGCAGCAGGAAGACTGAGGCTGAGAAAGAGGGCAACAACAGGGTGGTTGAGGGCTACGGAGGACATGGAGCTAAAGGCTGTGCAGGAGGCAGGAGATGGGAGTGTGGAGAAAGTTGAAACCTGAAGTCATAGCTCCACAAGCCCTCCTGGTTACACTGGCTATAGAGCACGGTGACTTCAAAGTCAAGCTATGCAAACCCAAGTCCAAAATTCCAGGCTGCTAATCGGAGGCGCTGTTGAACTTTCGACAGTTAACTGTTCTAAGACCACCACCTATAAAAGCATAAACCTGAGGTGACAACACGCCTCAAGTATCTCACACACGCTAACCCACATGCAGAAAATTCCATTTCTTACCTGTGACATGAAACCTGCAAAGGCAGGTTGTTTGTCTGATTTTAACGTGTCTGTTTTGACCCCAGAGGATATTTTTCTCTTGAGAACAGTACGTGGAGATCAAAATTACAAAGGCAATAAGTCCGCAGGCTTGGTACCATTGACTACTTCAAAGGGAAACCTCCTTGTCTCAGCCAGGACGCCTGGCACCATTCTGTTTACATGTACCTTGCCTTGGGTGCAAGCGGAGCAAACACAGGTATCAGGACGCCATGGAGGTGGTGGACGTTGGTCTCTTAGCCTGCTAGCCTGTGTGTACAGCTGCAGTCAATTATACAAAGCCAGAACTGTTTTGTTCTTTCGCTCCTGGAGAAAGGAGAATGGATGATGGGTTTTCCGCTTTCATCTTTCAGTATTTTGTTTTATTTTTACTTCTCATCATAATATTTAGATAGTATTTGTAGAAGGGAGAGCAATCATAATAAAGCGGGAATCAAACAAAGAGTTCTAAGGCACCGTCACCCAAACCTCCACCTCAGAAATGTTTCCCGTAGGCAGCAGGCAGCAGAGGGCATGGGAAAGTGTGTTGACGAGAAGAGGGGACTGAGCTGTGCCAGCCAGCCAGCACCTCTTCCAAAATCCTCCATATGTCAGGTGCGATATAAGCAAGGGCTCCATGGAACAGTCAGATGTCCTGGATGCTTCTCAGGGCTGGACCATGTTAAGATGGTAAGGTGACTGAAAGCAAGGACACACCCTTCACAGCCAAGAACAAAACCTCAGTTCATCGCTATGTAAGGAGGCGCAGACCTCTATCCCAGCCCCCAGGAGGCTCACAGCCGCAGGTACCTAATGAGACCCTGTCTCAAATAAAAATAAAGAAAAATCTCAGTTAAAGAAGACAAATATGATGACAATGCAATATTTTAAAATAAGAAATTAATCTTAAAACCTCGTGCTGCACAGAATATCAAAAGTAAAGAATCCTGCTGTGAGTTCATGTGTGTAACTGGCTGTGTTCATCAATGTGTTTTCTCACGGTCACCCACCACCTCTGACTCTTGCACTCTCTCCACCCCTTCCTAGACAATGATCTCGGAGACTTGGAAGGAGATGTGTAATAGAGATGTTCATTTACTGCTGACAATTCCACCTTATTCTCTGCTCCTGGACCAGTTGTGCCACCATCTACTGCAAAAGATACTCCTTAAAGAGAGCTGAAAGATGCCTTAACCTATAGTCCTTAGGCATGACTTTAACACGATGGCAGTTTAGCAGAACAAATGCAATAGGTTTTCCCCCAAGTTTGTTAACTGTCTAACTACGGGTTCTTGGCCTCGGTAATGGGGCCAGGCATGAGTTTTAACTTGTGGAGCAGACCTTATGTCCAATCAGAAAGTAACTGGTGTCCCCATGCCATGGATGCGACTCCTGCACCAGTAGAAATGCCATGCCAAGCTTACAGTCATTGTAACTCTCTGGGTTCACAGCTGTGGAAGGCGGATTATTGCTTTTCTCCTTTAACATCATGCAGAAGACCTTCTAGCACTGACATCTACCCAGCGTGGATGGAGCTTCCAGGTTGATTTCTCCACATTTTATAACTTAAGGATATGGTGTCTTCAGCAATGGAGTTTCAATAATCAAGTTCTGGAGATAACCAAGGCACTGGCAAGAGTTGATGGAACCTCAGGACCTCAGTGGTCAACAACTCCAAAAAACATAGCCTATTCCTAGCACTTGGTTTTTCACTTGTAAGCTTGCAGAATCTAGTAGAGACATTAATGTTCCATTATAGAGTAACTTTATTGAAGCTCTTTTTATATATGTTTTAGGAAGTTTCCTTTTTGGAGAAGTCCTCAATGTTAGTTATCCTTCCTCATATTCCCCCCTTAGCCCCGACCTCCCACATTCCACACCAATCTAACCCTTCCTGTTCCATTATTTGCATTTAACCCATTGTGCCACTATATGCCCAAGACCAGTACAAGCTCAAAGTCGACAAAATCCCAGCCTGGAGACAGAGGGCAGACACGAAGTGCCACCACAGCTGAAGAGCTAATGGCCATTGACAGATGCTGGGAAAGGGGGAATCAATCTTCTTTAAGAATGTGGCCCTTGTCAAGCTAATCATGCTCCAGTGAAAGTCCACACACCCAGGAGTCAATGGGAAGCACCAACTATACCTGGTGGATATTTTTTTTTTTTGGAAAAAACAAAGTTGGGTGGGTAGGGCAGGGGGTTTTCATATGAGAGGAGTTGCGTGAGGGGTTAAATATGATCAAAGTACACTGAAATCCTCATCGTGTGCTCCGGGAGCAACTGTCCCGGCAAGGTATGTCCACTGGTGGAATAGTGGCAGGAAGGTCTTAGGACTAACTATCTACTTTCTGATTGGATCGAAAGCCCGTTCAACAAGGTAAACCCCATATCTGGCATGATTATCTGTCTAAGAACTTATGGTTAGAGAGATAAAAAAATCCTAGGAGAGGACCTACCACTATTTTCTGCTAAGTGGAGATAGTTTTAAACCATCTCTGAATGACTAATCATTATTCCCATAGATTAAGGTATCTCAACCGAAGCTCTGTTTGCAGTAGATGGTGATCTACAGAGAAGAACACCTGACCCGGGTACAGAGACTAAGAGTTTGCAGAATGTCCAGCCCTAAAGGGAAAAGTATACACCACACACACCCCTCCTCCAGAGACTTGGGGATCGTTGCAGAAAATGGGGCAGAAAGAGTGTAAAAATCAGAGGTAGCAGGTGACCTCAAGAAAACAGTGTCTTCTAGAAACAGCAGGGCCACTGTGTATATGAACTCAGAACAGTTGTGAGGATGCATGAGACCTGCGCAGGCCCAACCAAGCCAGACCAATTCCAGCACAGACAGAAAAATCAGGCACAGAGTTTCTCCCGCAGCCAGGAAGTTATCAGCGGTTGTTAGCTGGCAGGAAAATAAGGATCAAGTTTTTGCAAAAAGCACATAGCTGAATAAGCTAGCCATACTCCAGTGGAGAGCCACACACTGAAGAATATTTGGGCATCATAAATTGACCTTGATGGAATAGAGAGAGAGAGAGAGAGAGAGAGAGAGAGAGAGAGAGAGAAAGTTAGGTGTGAATAGGGTGATTCTAGGAAGAGTCAGGGAAAGGAATGTGAAGACAATGGAAACATGTTGTATGAAGTTCTCAGAGAACTAATAAAAATATGTTTGTTGTCAGTTAAATATGCACTAAGACTGCATAGCACTTTAGGAAGTACAGTTATCACTGAGGAAGGTAGTAATGATACTTTAGTCATAAAAGCAAGGTTAGCATCGAGTCTAGAAAACAGCAGGTGAAGTAAATAGCAAGGAAAAATAAATAGGAAGTAGAAGATGTATGGACCAAAAATATAAAAATAACTGTACATATTTCAAATACATTCTTTAAAGAATGTGACTGATTACTTTTTGAAATAAAAATCCCTTGCTTTGAAATTTGGGAATAAGATTGAGAGTCACGAAATATTCATTTCTTTTGACTTGATCTCTCAGTCTAATCAGTGCAATAACCCACTTATGAGGTCATAGCCAAATGTGCCACTAAATACGCCGAAGATTATACTTACAAGAATTTGTTGTAAGTATAGTCAAAATGTGGGAAAGAGTCTATTGTAATAGAGAAAAATCTTAAACAAGTCTGAAAGGAACACTATCCAGTAATTTAAAATAATGATTATGATGCCCAAGCAATTAAAATGATTAATGGACTATTTAAGGTGAAAAATAGGATATACCTTACACACCACACCCAAGCATATATGGGCAGCAATAATTAGAGTCAGTGGCAGCACTGAATACATTCATAATTAAAAAGTAGACAATAATATTATTATAAAAATTGTTCAATAAAAGAATCTTTTAGTTAGCTAAAATAAATAGGAACACAAAATTTGGTAGGTGTGGAATAGGGGATGGATCTGGGAGGAGATAGAGAGGGGTGGACATGATTAGACAACAATGCATGAAAATCCCAAAGATTAATAAAACATAGAAAAAAGTGCTTTGCAGTCCTGAAAATAATTAAATAAAATGGGAAAATATGTGCACTATACTAACAAACAGTTATACATGAACTGCATATAGAAGGTAACAGTAAATGTATCAAAATTCCAATAATTTTAATTTTAAATGAAAATCCTTATTCCTTCCTTTCTTCCCCTTTTCTTTCTTCCTTGCTTGCTTCCTTCCCTTTCCTCTCACTTTCCTTTTCCTTCTTTCCTCCCTGCCTTTTTGCTTGGTTTTAGGAATTGTGTGGCCTACTGTATTTTTCAAGGTCTCCACAGGAAACGTGGCACAACCAAGGGTATGGCCGGAGAAGTAATGACTTACAGGGAGGTCTCAGAAGTGTAAATCAAGGGTAGCAGGAAAAGACGATTAAATATCTGGGTCTCCAACAGCTAGAGTCATCAGGTTTAGAACAAAAAGAGAAACAGGAGGGCGTCTCTGGAGAAGAAGAGGGCACCTCCTCTCCTAGCACAGGACTAAGGTACTCAGAGAGGAGGAGCCAAGAGGAGCCAGGATCACCATAGAGTTGCAGTGAGGGAAGGGGAAAGAGAGAAGCCAGCTCCCCAGAACTGGAGTGTGGGATGGGGAAAAAGGAGGCGATAACTCCACAGAGCTGCAGCGAGGTATGGGAAAAGATAGCTATGACTTTCTCTTCATGCCTAATCTCCTGTCAGTCACTCCCATAGGCTAAACACCGCTGAGCACCGTAGGATACAAACACAGTCTCTTAAAGCCACCCTCACGGGGCACAGGGAGCATGAGGGAAAGGAGGAAGACTGGATCTGAAAGGTGAGCAGAAAATCGCTTAAAGTCATTGGTTTTTTATTTCTAGCCTGCATAACAATGTGTATTTCAAAAGTACAGTGATAGGAGCCTTGGTAGTGCAGTGGGCAGCGCACCAGCTTCCTAACAGTGAACCGAGTCAAACCAGAACTCACCTCCTTCAGTGGTGAAATGCAATTTAAATAAAGTTCAGATATGCAATACTGCTGACATAGTACCCAAGGTGAAGCCTGGACCCAACGCCAAACAAGGGGCCCAGGACACCCATCTTCAAAAACAGTTACTCAAGGAGCAAACACAGACTCTAGGAAATATGTGGAGGTTGAAATCACCTGGATTAAACAAAAAAGGCAACACTGAGCATTAGTCATTGCAAGTACTTCACAAATATTAGCTCAATAAATATAAGTCCTGTAAAGTGGCTATTACCATTATACCCATTTTACAGAT